GGGGGGTGGGCCGTCCACGTGGAAGCGGAGCCTCCGTGGGACCCCAGGGCGAAAGGACAGCAGCTCAGGAGCCGGTGGTGGCCTCTGCAGTCACAGTGGATCCATGAACTGATACATGGGATGGTCGGGCCTGTGAGGGCCCAAGGTCATGTGGAGTCTAACTAACTCGGCTTCCTGGTCGACAAGTAGCAAAACAAGCAGTCAAGTGGATGAGCTTGAGCTTCAGACATTTACCTTGTCTCACTAAACCTCAGTTTCCCTGTCTGTGAAATGGGGATAACAATACCGTCTTCGTGGCAGTCCGTGAGGGGATGTGTGTGAACCGTTCAGGATACTGACCCTGCTGCACTAGTCGGAACCCCCGGGGTTAACTCTCCACAATTTACTCTTGTGGATGTGAGAGCCTGTAAAGGCCGTAGGGAATAACGAATCTAATTTCCCTCCGTCTTTGCTTTTGCTCATGGCAGAAAAATTTACCGAGTTTGTTCATCTGTGTTTACCACTGAGTCTTGGCTTCCCTGGATTAGACATAAAAGCCCTTCAGAATGTGATTTCCTCTTATTGGCTACTCAGAACCAACTATTACATATAAACTTGGGCTTCTCAGTTTTCTATAGATTTACGTTTTCATCATCTTAAAATTAGACGTTAGAGAGAGGCTAAGGCTCATTTATTAGAGGACGTAATGAAAAAGTTGAGTATAATGGAAGACTTCTTTGGAGTTTGGCTTGTTTTAATAGACATCATGTACTGTACAGGGACATTGGACAAAGGACTGCTCCATCAAATTTTAAAATAAGCTAATTTTATATAGGCTCCTGCCAAGCTGGTAGACAATCATGATTTTTTAATTGAGGTGTGTTTTAGTTAGAGATGGTCCCAGAGACAGTCAAATTAGGTCTTTGGGTGCCCTAGGCTGTTCTAACTTCTAGAAATCCTGAACCAAAATCTGTCCTTGTTTGTCCTTGTAAGTGCTAAGCAGCTGCCTTGAGCCTCCACAAGTTCCCTGCTGCCTTTGTCTAGGAAAGAAAATTCCAAACCTCAAGACGGGCTTAAAGACTTTGTTATAAGCCAAGGGTTTGGGGGCTGGTCCCAGAGCAGGATCTCCGGGGACCGAGAAAATGCTCCGGAGAACAGCAGTATTGCAATTTATTTTACACGTGAGAATCAAAGGAGAAGGCAAGAGAAGGGCTGCGTGGGACCCCGTGGTGGCAGGTTAGGAGGCGGGAGAAAGTCAAGTGGGGAACCTCCAGGGCTGGTGGGGGCACAGCGGAGAGGCGCCTTCTTCCCTCACACCGAGGTGCGCAGGGCGGTTGACTGTCCACACTCAGTTTCCAGAAAGACGGGGTAAGGTGACAGTGAGGGATGTGGCAGAGGTGATGGCGAGGGATGCAGCGGAGGTGACAGTGGGGGACGGGGCAGTGAGGCATGCTGAGATGGTCTTGTTCGGACATTCGAAATGTGTCCTGGTGCAGTAGATGTGCAGAAACCAGAACAGCTCCTGTTCCGGCGGAGATTCATCTTTCCTAGAGGCCGTGGGACGTGACTTCCCTCCGTACCTTGCTCACTTAGGTTTATTTATGTGTTTGTCTTCACAATCAAACCCTCCTGTGGGGCTGCTCTGTCTTGAGCTTGTCGGGCTTGCCGAGGAAGCCGCCCCTCTTGCTCACACCCTCTTGGAGGTTTTTGCTCAATTCCCTCGACTTAACATAAAACCTGAGATCTGAATGTCCCCTGACCAAGACACCCCCTTATGCATTCTTGGGGACTGCACCCAGTTGTTCCTTCCATCTGGGGGCTCCCCTGTCCCTGGGCACCCTCTGTCCTGCAGACCAACAGTACTGACCAGGGGACGAGGCTCACCACCGAGTCCCACGGTGGCCAGTCCGGTCCCTCGGTCAGCCCCGCAGAGGTCCTGTTTTATTCCCTGTGATCGCCATGGCAGAGGCCCCTCGGAGACTCGAGGGGAAAGCCTGGCTTCTGAGGCATCGTTTTCCGTATCGGAATCAGAGAGCGTCCAACTTGGACCGGATCCCGGAGCTCAGCGGCCTCAGGGGGCCGGTGCTGAGGCGGCTGTCAGGCCAAGCCCAGACTTCAGGTCTGCTGGCTTCCCTCAGTGTGTGTGCACAAGTGTGTCCATGAGTGTGCACAAAGATAACTGCTCTTCGTGTTTTGATGAGGCTTTCTTTCCTCCCACTCTTAGTAGAAGCCACTCTTAACAGACAGCCATGGCTACAGGAGTAGGTGTCAGTGTGAAGGGCACAAACGCATTCCTGGTCCTGCCCCTTCGGAAGCATTTCTCGGTCACTATAGTCGAATGTCCCTCCAAGGTCTATCCTGGCTGCTTTGACGCCTTCATTAGCGCACAGCCGTCCAGCCTTCCCTGTGCACCCTGGGTGTTTCCCACCCTTGAGTACGAACAACTTATCTTCACACCCAAATCGTGTGTAGGGAGGGAGACGCCTTCCATCGGCTAAGAAGCCTCCAGCAGCATTAACGGTAGTTACCCATTGTTTCACACTGCTGTGAACCAGTTCATGTAGACTCGACCCAACAACGTGCCCCGGCCTGGCAGAGACTTTGTCAAATGATTAGTTAAATTCCAAATCTACTGAACCATCCGTAGCCTGGAAAATAAAGGTACTTGGGGGTCCATTACTTTGAACCTAGTGACAATTCCTAGTGACCGTTGTTTTGTCTGTGTTTAAAATGCTGGTTCTATACTTCCCAAGTACCTATCAAGCCCCTGGGTTAGACTCTACCTGGTGAAGAATTCAAATATGTCTAAATTCTGGCATTTTTCCTAATACTCTATGATTCGGGGACGTGTGCCCAAGGCCTGTCTGAAACATCACCAACAGAGGCTTAGCTCACCAGGGTAGCTCGCTGGGGCTCACGCAGCACTGACAAGGGCGTTACTGCAGGGCATGGCGGCCTCCGTCTTTTTCAAGGGAAAAACGTACCTTTTCTCCGTAAAGCCCCACCGCGGACTGAAAGCCGAGGACAGCGGCATTTATTCCCCTGTGCTTCCCGCATCGGTTCCCTCCGCTTCTTGGTGTTACTCCAGCGCAGCCAAGCCTTCGTCAGCTGCCTTACAAACACCAGATCCCAGAAACCTCGTGGAGAATTCCGTTTCTTTGGGCCAGACCCTCTGGCAGCTCTTAGGGCTGATCCAGGGACAACGAATAAAGCGCGTGAATATTCAACATCGCACCATAACCGCGGCCAAACCGTAAACCGTATGCATCCGTCCTGGTCATGTGGCTCCGAAAAGCCAAGTGCAGGGAGGGTGAGCTACCCGCCTGTTCCTTGGAGAGAGACTGGGTGTGTTTGCTGGCACTGGGCGTGTTGGAAGGAGCTCGACACCCTGCAGACGTCTGGGAAAGGCGTCGGGGAGAGGTCAGGGATGGGAGGCCATGGCCCCCATGGAGCCCGGCTGCGTGCCCCTGGGGAGAAGGGATGTTTCCGGCCGAGTTGAGTCGACAGGCCCAAGGGTGCTTTCCACCTCCTCCTGTCAGAAACGTGTAGACATGGGCAGCAAGGCAGCGTGCCTTCCAGATCAAAGGAGCACGCATCAGTGTCTTAGAAGCATGCACCTGAGACAGCCCTCGAAACCAGCCTGGGGGGAGCCCAAGCAGGCCCCGTCTCCCCACCCTGTGCGTAGTTCGTGACCATGAATTTCCCTGAAGGCTGCACTGGTTTTTGCCCTTGGGGTCACTTCTGGGCTGCTCTCTCTATGGGAGGGAGGTTCGCCTCCAAGAGAACCCCCACCTCACCCCAGGGGCAAAGCCACCCAGAAAAGCCACTGGGGAAGGAGCTTGGACCTGAGGCTGAGTCCTAAGGCCGTTATCCGTGGTGCAGCCTCGAGGCACCGCCCAGCCTGCGGGCATTCCGGTTCCTTACTCTGAAAAACAGGATAATAATACTACTCATCTCATAGGATTCATGTGAGGCTTAACACGTTATAATATCTGCAAAATGACAGATTTTTTGCTATTATTAATAAAGATTGTCGCAAAGTCTAGGATCTCTCAGCTATTGCTCTTAGAATGTGAGTCTGAAGCTTGAGCTCCCCTGGGGCTACTTCTACTTCAGGAGAAGTCAGTCAGCTGCGCACCATCCCCTCCGCTTTCTCTCTTTTCCATCAGAGTAGTCGAACCTCCCCCCTCTACGCTTTCCGCCAAAGGCTTTATTTGCCACACTCGTAAAGTCATTTGGTTGCTCCAGGCCTGGGTTGGAGACTGGGTGCAGAATGTGAGTCTGGCTGCTGTGTGGGTGCTCTGAGTTTCTTCTGGGGTTTGGAACTTGTGTGTGTGTTTGTATGTGTGTGTACATGCTGGGGAGACCCCATGATGCTCCAGGTAACCATGTGCCCAGGAGAGTTGACAGTCGAGGGCAAGGGGTGAGGTACCCGATGGAGCACATGAAGTGGCCCACTAGCCCAGCGGCCTTGGGAGGCAGACCCCACCCAGGGTCACCTCACAACCTCACTCGGGGCAGGCTTGAGTTCAGGCAGGTCCTTCCCGAAGGGACGTTTGCACAGAGGTCTGGGGGAATGCGATGAGCGGCGGGAGGGGAGGAGTGTTTGTTGGTGGAGGTGGCATCCAGGCAGAGGTGGCAGTTGGACAGATGACCCAGAAATGCAGATGCTACAGGGAGCACCCTCACTAGAGCGAGGAGCTGGCAAAGTGATGTGCGGAGTCCCCAGCCAGCGGGGCCACCTCCCCGTGGCAGGAGCTGTGGGACCCGGTCCAAGTTGCTTGACCTCTCAGGGTCTCAGTTCCGCCCTCTGTGCGGACAGTGCCCACCTCCCAGGGTGTCAGGACAGTGAAGGGGACTCTCGTTTTCAAGGGCTGAGCCTGTAGCCGGCACCAAGTGAGCACCATGTCTGTGAACTAGGGAATCACCAACCAACGCACAGCGGGTCCAACCTCAGGGTGAGGGTTTTCTCCCCCATGAAAGTACACGTGACTAACGTGTAACGTTGCTCTGTCTTTTAGACGTGTTGCGGAGTCCCGAACCGTGTCTCCGCCAGGGGAGGTTCTACTGCGGGTCTTTGCAACCTGGGATAAGAACAGCCGCCCGCCATGGACCTCATCGGGCTGCTGAAGTCTCAGTTCCTGTGTCACCTCATCTTCTGTTACGTGTTCATCGCCTCAGGGCTCATCGTCAACACCGTCCAGCTCTTCTCGCTCATCCTCTGGCCAATCAACAAGCAGCTCTTCCGGAAGCTCAACTGCCGGCTGTCTTACTGCATCTCCAGCCGTAAGCAACTCACCTGTCCTCTCTCTCTGCGCCCTCCCTGTGGGGCTGTGGGTCGATACTCAGGCGTTCAGACGGGGTCATGGGGCTTGCACGGAGCTCTTAGCTGTATCTGTTATGGTCGTTGTTTCTGTTTGGTTGGTTTTGGTTTGAAGCATCTATTTCATCCCCCCTCTTAAAAAACTGGTTTTTGAATGAGTGATGCCCACAGCACAAAATTCATCCAGCACGGAGGGCAGCCTATGAACAATGAGAGCGCATTTGGTGTGTTTTTAGTTCTCCTCCTCAGAAGGAATCAGTGTTAATGATCTCCTAGTTGTCCCTGCAGAAATACACAGATGTGGGAATGCACACGGGTCTCGTGTGTGCATGGATGCTGTTGAGTCTCTGGTACATACAGGCGTGTAATGCACACACACGCTTGAAAGACTGATGGCACCGTAATACGTTGTTCTCATTCTTGCTTCTTTTAACTTTTCATTTTTAGATAACTGTAGATTCACATGCCGTTGTACAAAATAACACAGAGAGGTCCCATATGCCCTTCAGCCAGTTCCCCGCGATGGCCGCCTCTCGAGTCACCACAGCATGTTCTTCCAGCAAGGAGGCCGGCACCGGCACAGTTCACCAACCGCATTCAGATTTCCCAAGGATTATATACGTGTGTGTGTGTGTGTGTGTGTGTGTGTGTGTGTGTGTGTGTGATGATACCGGACTATTGAAGCGTGACTAATTCAGCTGGCCTGAATTTCACAAATGAAAATGAAAACAGATGAATCAGGATAATGGGATGGCTAGCAATGAGTCGCATTGCTGGTTGACCTTCAGTCTTGACCTGTTCTGAACTGTAGAAAATGTAGTGCGTTTATTAGTAATTACATATGTGGGTATGTGTGCATTTTAAAATAATGAGCCCTTTGGAACTGAGCAATTTAAACATCTCAGCAACCTTAGATTATACCAACAGTCCAAAATTACTGCTATCATTACTTCTGAAAACCCTTAAGCGAAGCAATCGAATTTGAATTTGACTCCAAATAATACAAGCTGTATATACGGTTGTCCAAATGGATTACTCCTGATCCGATTCGTTACTTTTTAAACCTTAAAATACTCACTCATGAGAGAAAAAAATGATAGAAACATCTTATTCTTGGTTTCTTTCACCAAATCAGAACTTGCAGATATTTCTGGCACTGTTTCTGATATGGTTTGAGTACTAGACCTACTTTGTCCTGCATTAGAATACTATGTTATATCAATATGTCTTAAAAATGTTAATAAGACCATGAAGTCAAATTTTCATTGCAAAGCAGTGTGTTTAGTCCACATGCCTGCCACCGCAGGGGGCAGTCACCCTTTTGATGTGACGTGCGTGACGCTGGGGTCCTGTCCCATGCCGCCCTCCAGCCTTGGCCCCTGGGATGTGGGCATCTGTGTGGCATCGCAAAGGGACAGCTCGGCAAAGCAGGGCCAAGGCAGCGAGCCAGACGGTGTGTGCCTGGCGTGCGGCTCCAGACGGCAGAGTTGCATCGTCGAGGGAAGCGGGGAGCTGTCTGTCACCTCATGGTTTCGGCCATCTTTCTGTGCCTCCGCTGTAGGGGTCTGTCCTAACAAAACACAAGTCGAACAAATCAGTGCCGATCGTCCTTGGGCTGAAACCTGCACTTCTGTCATGGGCACACACGACCAAGGCCCCCAGATCTGTCAGTCCGTACCCCCAAACGGCCCCTGTTCAGGCGCCAAACTGGTAGTTAAAGATGGGGAATCTCAATTGGAGTCAAGACGTCAGAGACTGGACTCAGGACAGGTGCTGTGTTTTGCTTTGGGTGGAGAGGGGAGACATGCTGAGGTTCTGGCAGGACCAGGTCAGTCTGCCCCTGGGGGCGCCCTAGCCTACTTGCTTCTGGTGGGAAATTCAGATGGGTAACAAATTCAGAAAACAAGGTGGATTCGTACCCACCAAAACTAACTAAACTGCTGGTCATGCCAAAGGAAGCTGAAGCACTAACCACCCGAGACGACTGTGTTTCCCCACACAGACCACAATGAGGGGCCTGCAGGTTACCAAACGGCCGGAGGCACACTCATGCAGTTACCCCTGCCAGGTACGGCCCCCAGCCCTCTGCACCTGCGGCCCTGGAGCAAAGCTTCCATGGGCTGTAGGCGGAACAGCAGCGTGGTTTTCTTGGCCCCCAAAGAGGGAATGGACAGCTCCTCTCCCGGAAGGTGGCCTGTCCTGGCCTCTGAGAAGAGGCCACATGGCAGAAGGGGAGGGAGGGTGATACGTCCTGCCGTGGCTTATGGGTACCTCACTGTGCTGAGCCCATCACATTAGGGGCACTCACCCACCCCTTAACTGCATCCACCCTCGCTGGTACCCCAATGGGTATTAGGTAGCGGGACTGCTCTCCTCGAACCCCTTCCCTGTTCTCCGTAGTTGATGGGTTTCTCTACAGCCTGAGTGTCCCACGAAGATGATGAAAGGCAGACCGGGAAGCTTAGCCAGGTGTTGACCGCCCTCAGATACCATTTGTGAGGTCAGGGCGGCCGGGCCCTTCCATATGCTTCCATTCTCCTCCTCCCCGCTCTAGGTTAAGATAAAAACTCTTCCTGGGCTTTAATTGTATCTTGTGGTGTATGAATCACTCTAACGCCTAGAAAATCAGCAGCATTCATCATTTGCAGCTGATTTTTTTTAAAGAAACAAAGGCAGAATAAATTGTTTCCTGGAGACTGGGCTCCCCTGCAGCACCCTTTCTCTGCAAGGAGCTACGGCATCACCCTTTCCTTTGAAACGTTTGTCTAGAGCCTGGTGGGTATCAGGTGAGCCCAAAGCGGCCGCCAGGCCTGGGCTGCAGAAGCTCACCTTCCACAGGCCGCACTGATGGAGAACACAGATAGAGACCCAATGCAGCGAAGGCCGCCTGGTTGCCAGCAGGGCACACAGAACAGGGTTTTTTAGTTTAGAGTCAGGAGTCCACATCAGGAATAACAGTTTGAAAGTCCGTGTGATGTAGACGGCTAGTTTTTGAAGGGTTGCTTTGTTTTGCCTGGCCTCGGTTTGTAGGCAGGAAAGGCTACGACTGCTGGCGTAGCAGGTGACGCAGGAGGTGGGGACGGAGCGACAGGTGAGGGGGAGGATGGCTCCGAGGGCCGAGTGAGGGCCAAACTCGGTGACCTTCCTGTGCTGCAGCACCAGCCTTCCAATCTCTAGGGAGAAGGGGCCAAAGAAAACAGCAAAACAAGAGAAAGATGGGCAGAACTCGTTAATGGCAGAGTCATTAGAAGGGGACGGGGTGGAGAGGGCTGCCCATAGATGACCTCGCTGTCCCAGAGAAGACAGCTGACAGAGGACAGAGCAGCAGGGCCAACCCGCTCTTCCCCCCGCCCTCACCCCCGCCCCAGGCCAGGCTGCCTGACTCCAGCCCATGCTAACCAGGCCTGCGAGGTCCAGCTGGGTTTCCACCGGCTGCCTGATGCGCAGCCCACGCTGTTTCTCGAGGGACGAGGCTTGTCCCTGGCACAGTCGGACTGGCTAGACTTTAATACAAGGCCATCTCCCAACGGGCTGATTTGGCCTTTTCTGTGTATTCCTTTCCTGCTTTTGTCTCTGACTTGGAATTGAAGATCCTTCTCACATCCCAGCCCGTCCTAAAGCAGAATAAGAATTAAAGGAGAAAGAAAAGTACCTGTTCTGGGCTGCAGGTGCTCAGGCCCAGAGCGGTTTTTCTTGTCAGCCTGCCAGAGCTCGTGTGACAGGTGCAGGCGAGGGACAGGGACCAGGAGCCTGGGAGGGGGAGGCACAGGGGTGTGGAGATCGGCTGTTTGAGCACAGGCCTCGGCCCCTGCCCACCAGTCCCCAGGCTAAGGTCAGCCCTGCTGAATAGAGGGACGGCACCGGAGCACCTGGGGGGGTGGAGATGCTGGGCCCCTCCCCTGGGGCAGGAGAAGGGAACCCCAGATACTACCAGGAGGCTCTGAGCACCTGTCCCTGGGTGTCCCCGACTTCTGTGCTGCCTTCCACAGGGACGTTGCTTTTGATCCACTTGGCGGGAGCTGTCTCAGTGGCACGCGGCTCCCCCGGCTCCGTCCCTGCCCAAGCGCTGCACCCTGTGTCCACCCAGCCCCCGGGCGCACAGGCAGCACAGCTGGTCCTCCACGGGGGTCTGGGACGTGGGAGCAGCCCCCCCAAGGTTTCCGTTTCTGAGCAGGGTGAGGAGAAGCAGGGGCTGGGTGCATTGCCGTGTGCTGTCGGGAGGTGAGGCCAGGAGTGGGTGTCCCTCGTTAAAAGAAAACACCAGGCAGGTCTGGGGGGTCCTTGGTAAGAAAGCGACCCATCAGAAGGGGGCGCTGTAGCGTCCTCCAGCATGACCTCAGGAGAGACCGCGCATCCCTGTAACTGGGCAGCCGCTCGCTCTGTGTCTCTTGCTGTGTCTCTGTGTCTCTCGTGGTGAACCCGCCGGTCATTTCTGCCCAGGCTGATTCTTCATTCTGTTCAGGCCCAAGCAGAGCTGACTCCCTGTCACAGTAGGTATCATCTCCCAGATGTCAGGCAGGGTGTTCATTACATTGTCCCCAAAGCCACTGGTCCTGACCCTTCACACTGCTGTCTTGGGTCTTGCTGAAATGTGGGCCTGGACAGGATCCCCCGCTGCCTCTGTTGGGAGACACGGCCCAGACCTGGGCCGTCATGGTCTGGGGCAGTCCCCAGATGCACCCTCGTCAGCCCCAGGTGGCGCCCCTGCCAGTGGGGAGACGGATGAGCGGCTGTAGATTGACGAAGCAGAGACCCCCAGCTGGCACTGTCTGACCACTGTAGCCACGTGGTCAGATAGATGGTGGCTTTGACCAGCAGGGTGATGTGCAGAGGGATCTGAAAGACCCGGGACAAGTTCCTTAGGACACCCCTGGGCTGGTTTGGCCTGTGGGTTAGAGTCTCACCGGAAGGCAAAGTCTGGCCCCTGGACAGACAGTTCCTCTTTTGGGACCATGTTTCCTCT